CTTATCTGTAGGCATCACCTCCAGCTAATGTTGTTGCATTACAGCTAAAAAAAACCTTTCAGGTTTTTCTCCAAACTACTGAAATGTAATTTGAGCTCCCACAGACAAACCTGTCTAGCTCTGCATATTGGAAATCCGCCCCCACAGATTTCATTGTATTGTGGAACAAATTCATTTCTTTCAATGTGCAATATATTGCAAACTAGCAAAGCATTTTGGAAACTGCGTTCTTCAGAATATACTTCCAGGTTCTGCTTTAATGTTTGCTATTACTCTATCATTAATGGTTGCAATGACACCAAAATCAATTTTTCTTGCCCTTTCCTCTGACTTGAGACATATTAATAAACTGACCGGTATCAGACACAGTGCTCATGCATATGGATAATGAGACAGACTGTTTCTAATATATCCCCCTGTGAACTGTTTGTACCATTATCCCTCTGGTGGGAAAAGGGCGCACTATTTCTTTACCGTTAATGTAACTCAAGACGGAGGTACTAAGGGTGGGCGCCCCCACAGTCGGGAGCTTGGGAAACTCCCTCTCTTTTGGGGGGGTGACCCTTCCTGCTAAGGATGGGGTCCGCAGCTTGGGGATCCATCTGGACCCGGCGCTCACTATGGAATCCCAGGTGGCGTCGGTGGTCCGAACTGCCGCCTACCATCTTAGGGGGGTAGCCCAGCTGTGGCCCTATCTTGATGTTGGGGCGCTCACCACTTTGGTGCATGCGCTCGTAATCTCAAGATTAGACTACTGTAATGCGCTCTACGTGGGGCTGCCTTTGAGGCTGTTGCGGAAACTTCAGGTGGTGCAGAATGCGGCGGCCAGACTCCTCAGTGGGGTGAAAAAATTCCAACACATCTCACCCACTCTGGCCGCATTGCATTGGCTGCCCATCAGATTCCGCATCGACTTCAAAGTGTTGACGCTTACGTACAAAGCCCTAAACGGTTTAGGGCCTCGATACTTGGCGGAACGCCTTCTACCACCAAGATCTACCCGTGTCACTCGCGTGAGCCAGGAGGTGAGGCTGAGGAGCTTAACGCCGAGGGAGGCCCGGAAGGAAAAGACAAGAAATCGGGGATTCTCGGCGGTAGCTCCTCGCCTCTGGAACAACCTTCCCCCTGATATTCGCGCGGCCCCCTCGCTCGGTATTTTCAAAAAGCAATTAAAAACATTGATGTTTCGGCAGGCCTTCCCTCCTAGTTAATTCCTGATCCCCTTCTCTTTTCTTTCCTAATGTTTTAACCCAATTGTTGAAAGTTTTCTATTATGTAATTCTGTTGTTTTTATAGTGCTATCCCATGTTGTAAGCCGCCTAGAGTGGTCTATCGACTAGATAGGCGGGATATAAATAAAATAAATAAATAAATAAATAAATAAATGTATGAATGTTACTAAATGCAGCCAGCTAAGAAGCATATTGAAACAAATGAGGTCTGTACTATATTGTTTTCTATTATACGTGTTTTAACAGTCCAGAGTAGTGCCTTGGCATTAATAGGAGAAGGATACAAATTGAATGAATGAATGAATGAATGAATGAATGAATGAATGAATGAATGAATGAATGAATGAATGAATGAATGAATGAATGATTCAAGCCTGCAAGCAAGCAATCAAACAATCAACTACCTGCCTATAAAGAACCCTGGAATCTTTCTGCAAAATGCTCCAGCAACTCTGCAGAAAGATGGCATATGAATCTTTGAAGTTAATAAAAACTTCACTGGAAAAGCAAGCAGAGAGGTCATCCAATCACAGGCTTCATCTGCTCAAATTCTCACTCATGGTATCATTTCCTAAACCCCTAGGCCACTAAGAAGTGTAGAATCAGTAGGAACCTGGGAAGTCAACAGGTAGATATATTCCACTGACAGAACAGGTCTATTCTATTAGAGACTGACAACTGTATTTAGGCCTTTCTGCTGAGTGTGACCCTATCAATTATAACATTTGTTTTCACATAGCACTGGGTTCAGATTTTCAGGCAAGCCACCATTCCTGTGACTGCCATTGGTCTGCTATCATTTTAGAACCAGACAGCTTACTTGGAAGTACTCTGGGGATCTTTCAGTCTAGATTAATGAAGTCCATGGCTACATAATGAATGCAAATGGAGCTGCCTCATATCAATACAAAGAACACTGATTAAAATATCATCCTATGAAATAGAAACAAACATGATCCTGTGGTACTATATAGTTTACATACTATAGTACTATATAGAATACAGTGGTGCCCCGCTTAACAATTGCCCCGCATTACGACGAATCTCCTTTACGGCAATCTTTTTGCGATCGCAATTGCAATCGCAAAACAATGGTCTAAATGGGGGAATTTTGCTTAGCGATGATTGGTTCCCTGCTTCGGCAACCGATTTTCACTTTAAGACAATCAAACCAGCTGTTTGTTGGGTTTTCAAAATGGCTGCCGGGTGCTTAAAATGGCTCCCCGCTGTGCTTAGGGACGGATTCCTCGCTATACAGGCAGCAAAAAATGGCCGCCATATGGAGGATCTTCGCTGGACGGTGAGTTTTTACCCCACTGGGATGCACTGAACTGGTTTCAATGCGTTTCAATTGGGTTTTTAATTTCGCTTTACGATGTTTTCACTTAACGGCGATTTTCCTGAAACGGATTATCATCGTTAAGTGAGGCACTGTACAGCCCCTCCCACTGGCCTTGTTGTAGCAGACTGCTTGACTGTACTCTTCACTGAAAAGGGCCAAATAATAGTTTTGCTTGCAATGGGTTTGAGGGGTAGAAAACATCATGCGTCTTATGACCACCAGTGGTAACATACTTAGGAAACTGAATGAGCCAGACTGGGGTGCAGACACACAAATAATAAGAACAACAGCTTTGTCCTTTTGCTACACTGCATCAGAATATGCCTATGCCATATGGTATAAATCAGCACATGCCAAACAAGAGGATATAGCTCTTAATGAATCATGCATGATTATTAATGATTGCCTGAAACCTACTCCCACTGAAAAAGTCTATGATTTGGCAGCACATTGGCAGGTGCTACATGATAACGTAACACAGCACCAAACCTATCCACTTCATGGACCTTACATGACAGCTAAAATTGAGTAAAGGTTTTTGCACACATCTCAAGCTCTAAATATTAAACCAGAAGAGGCTGCACTAAACATATGGAGAGCAAAAACAACACACAAAAGCAATGAGTGTCTCTCACCAGGACAAGACTCTAGCTGGACCATTTGGAAGTCACTTAATAAACTTCAAAGTGAAGCAGGAAGGTCAAAGAATAATAAAGTAAAATGAGGCTATTTGAATACAGGACAATTTTTATGTTACAGTGGAGAAATTCAATCAATACAGCACTTAGGTGAATGCAATTTATGTTCCATCACATGTGCAAATAAAAGTCTAGCAATCGGCCAACACTACTGAAGTATCCCACTTCTGTTCAAAAATACTCCAATTATGTTAATATTTAATTTGTTTAGAATTTATCTGTACTTCACATATGTACATAATTTTAAAATTGTGCAAGACTCTGGTATGAAAAAAGAAAGAAAGGCTTGGTAGAAACACCCACAAATTCCCCACAAAATGCATTTGACAGAAACACAAACAGGCTATGTCCAGAAAGTGCAGTAATAAACAGGCTCTCAGTAGAGGACAAAAGCTACATCATGGGCTAGTATAGGTATTTGCAATGTCTGCACTTCTCCTCCATTTTTGTGTGTATGGATGTTCTCAAATATCAGCCATCATGTAGGCCTATGCTGCCAGTCCCAAAATGATTTGTCTTTCAGCTTAAATGGTTTAAAGGGTTCACCACACTTGCCAGAAAACAATAAGATGACAAATTGAGAGGAAGTTGAAGCTACGAAGGTGGGAAAAGGGAAGTTGTGTCTGACACACAGCTAACCTGACCGCTATGGAAGAAACAAGGCAAAACACTCAAAGAACAGTACAGATTAAACAGAGGAGGAAACATACTTTGGTATCCACATGGACAGGTAGAAGGAAAGGGGGAAGGGACCCAAAGGAGTAAGAAAGAGGACATGGAGCTAACAATTCCTTTCAGCTGAATATGGCATATGCCCTATCTCCAGATATGGCCGCAAAGACGGTCTTCTCAACAGTTCTCAACAGAATAGAGGTGCAGGAGAAGACAGTTTAAAGTAGATAACAGCAGACTAAACTGACACACGAAGATTAAGAGGTTGGCTGAAGGGACCTTCAAAAAGAAATGGGGGCTTCCACTCAAAACCTGCACTTAAACACAGCCCTAGTTCATGAAGCCACTTTCACAAGTTCATAACAGACTTTGTAACAGAAATTTGTTCAGTTGTCTCTCTTCCATTGATTAAAATTTTAACGTCACTGCTGCAGAAAAAATGTTTTGCTTAAAGATATGAAATGTATACAGAGAATTGTAACGTTACTGAAACAATTGTAGCTGCTTGTGTGAGGCAATAAGACTTTAAAAGTGTTCTTGTTTTGGTTTCAAAACAATTGATACACAGCAGCTCTAAAAAAATTGTTAACAGCCTATGCCTTCGTGGCCAAGCAATACTTTGCATTCCAAAGACCGGCGTCTTCCTGAAGGTCTTTGAGAGCCAAGAGTAGGCAGTGGTAAGTGACTGGCAGAGCTCATATTAGACGGCTTTGGGCTATAACGTCCAGCACCCTCTACACCAGTGGTTCACAACCTTGAGTATCCAGATGTTCTTGGACTGCAACTTCCAGAAATCCTGGCCAGCACAGCTAGCGGTGAAGGCTTCTGGGAGTTTTAGTCCAAGAACACTTGAGGAGCTCAATTTGTGAAGCACTGCCATAGACATTAGGTTGGGGGGGAGGGTCCTGGGAGCTTTAATCTTTTCTAAATGTTTTGTTACTTGGTTAAGTGCACGAGACTTAACTCAGAATAATGCAACATGGTACATTCAACTCAGTATGAGGAATACTCTGAAAGCAGTCTGCCATAAAGCAAAACAGAAAGTAACCACTTTACCTTGCTAACATCTACAGATTCCAGCTTTAGTGCCTCGGCTGCTTCTTGTTCTTCACTGCTTCCTTCGTCTATATCACTATCCTCATCCTGAGCAGAGTCTCTTTTCTGCTCTCTGGCAGAAAGCCTGACCCCCTTTTTGTCTGTTTCCATCTCCGCTGTTGGATTCCCAGTCACTGCTGCTTTTTTCTGTTCACCATCTTCATTTAGAAACGTCTCTCCTGCCACACTGCAAGAAGGGCTATCAATTCCACTGTCCCTATTGGGAATTTTTCCATTTCCGTTCAGTTCCACAGAGGGGTCCTTATGGCTGAGCTCTTCCGTAGGTGCTCTGCTGACGTTCATAGCAGTACAGTCCTCTGTGCTTGTGGTATCATCTATATTTAGTTCCTTAATTTTCATTATGTCCGCACTAGACAGTTCAGTGCTACACATGATGTCAGTCTCAGTCTCATCTAACTCTTTGTTTCCGTTTGTCGAAGAAGCGCTGGATCCTGCAACATCAGAGACGCTGGGGCAGCCCTGTTTAGAAGAGTCTGTTTCAGGTTCCATCTTAAAAGCTATGTTAATCTGGTTTCTTTGAACAACATGGATTGGCCGTCTGCAAATGAAAACACAGATTCTGTATCAGTGGCATCAAGGACCAGATTCCAACATGAACCAATGTATTTTGAAGAAGCCACTACTGTTAGAACCACGAATGTATTTCAACGTCCTCCTCTTAGACCTGCAGAGCTGGAAGGGAACCTATGGATCTTTAAGTCCAGCCTCTGTCAAAGAGGCACAGTGGGGGAATTGAACACTCAACCTCTGGCTCCACAGCCAGAGACCTAAATCAATCCTCCAGAATTGGTGAGGTGACCTATTTCATGTGACAGATTTTGTTCTGCCCTTAAAGAGGCAGCAAATGGTTGGTTATTTAGTTTAAAATATATATTTTACTACCCTAAGCTCCATCTGAAGACTCATATCCCCAAATATATTTGGCTGTTTCTTTAAACCTCTAGATTAGAGCAGCAAATGGACATTGATATTGCTTAAGAATTTCTGAAAACATTATCCATCAGAACTACTGCTACAAGTGTTTTTACAGTGTAGCATGTAGTCATAAAAAGTAATAACTGCACAGTTACAAAATTGATTTCCTAAAGGAAATTAAACAAACTGAAGCCAGAAATGTATCTTTAAAAAATAATAATGAAGGAAACTATACTAAGGAAGTTGCTGCATTCATTGGAATTAAGCCTAAGTAGTAAACTATTTATAGGCTGTTAAAGTCCAACCAAGCATATTTACCCTCATAAAAACCACAGCATCCAAAACGAAGGCAATCATAAGGATGTCACATCCTGATACTAAAAACAGACTTGTAAATTCTTTGACAAGCGTGCTGATTTTCAAAATCTCCTACCTCTTCCAGGGGAATGGAAACAGAACCTGTTTTTAACCTTATATAAGGCACCTGTTATCCAAGCACACTTACTCTGGGACTAAAATACACAGAGCACTTTAGCATAAGGGATCTTCTTGTTATGTTGGATTCCTGACTGCTGTTATGCTGTTGTACAGGATCAGGCAGAATTCAAACATTTCCATTAGGTTTAAAATAGAGTTAACTTTTAATAAAGGTCTGTTTTGCAACAGACGGACATACTATTATATGTGCTCTAACATTTCTATTGACCCCCAAGACGTTATTTTAAAAGAGAAATGACAACAGTAAAATAAAGAATAAGTTCTTACCTAATACTTTCAAATTTTTCAATGAGTTTGCTAATGTCTGCTGAGGTCTGTATTACTTCTTCAGGCACTAGACTTCTTGAAGACTTGGGATCTGCTGGTAAAGGCCTTGATGGCGCTGGGGGTATCTTCTCTTGCCCAGCAGGTTGGAGATGAACAGGTTTAGGAGGTACTAAAGAACAAAACACAAAAACAAGGATGGCTCCAACTTTAATAGCAATAAAGCTGGTTCCTCCAGTGAAAAGTTGGAATGGTCATGCCTTTACTACAGGAGAAGCAATGAAACATCAGGTTATCTTCCAACACACACATACACATATAAAATTGGTTTTAAAGACAAATACTGGCCTACTGTTTCACATTTTGTTAGAGCTTTCAAAGACTGAGAGAATGTGACCACTTCCTTGTTGCTAAACAGGATGCATAGCGCACATGGGGAGGGAGCAATTTGCAAAATTTCTATCACAACTTTTTAGCACTGAGCTGAGCATATTGGACGGCAGTAGCTCAAAACCTGGAGTTCTGTTGGGTCAAAGGACTGAACTTAGAGATTTATATTTTTCTCTTATGCTTTTTCTCCTGTAAATTGTACATGTTTGTGAGTGTGTCAAGAATAGCCCGTTTTCTTTTCTTTTCCCCTTCCCCCACGTCTTTAGGGTATAATCTCCTTCCTTCCTCATTTGCTGCTGCAGTGAACTCACTGTTGCAATGAAGCACTTAAATTCTGTCTGGTTTCAGGGGTTGGGGTGGGAGAGGAATAACAAGACACCTTTGCACTTGATCCTATTTGTGTAGTCTCTGAAAATACTGCAAACCATGTTTCTCATACTCCTTGCAAGTAAACTGTAGTTTTCTAGGCTTACAAGTGAAGTCCTATGACAACATCTTCACTTTGCCAAAAGCATTTGAATTTAACTGGCCCCAAAACTAGTGACTTGTGGCAATGAAGCCACCTCTACCCCTCAGGAGTTGCTGCCAAAATTTACTCAACTGCATATTTCTTCATAGGAAAAAGTTCACCAGTTCAAAACATCCGAATTCGCTTTATCGTAGGCACGAGGTACACCATTTTTAAAAGCACTGAACTATTTTTATATAGTGTTGCCAATGTATACAGCACCTGACTGTTTCAAATCTAAATGTTAATCATGTGCAAAATGGGGTTTGCAAGACTTATTCTTCCTTGAAAACATACTAAGTCTATACTGAAACACTGTGTGTTGGCTGAAGTGAAAGGAGATGTGACAAAACAGGGTTAACAAATTTATTTATTTGTTTGTTTATTTATTTGTTTGTTTTATTTGGCTTTCATACCGCCCATCTAGAGTCTAGACTAATCTACTCTGAGCGGTTTACAGTCCAAAACAGGCAATAAAATTAAAATCATCAATAAAAAGATTAAAACAAGCCAAAAACCAAAAGAAAAATTAAGTAGTGGAAGGAGGGAAGGCCTGTCATTCTTCAAGGACTGTCCTGTCCCACCTACCCTCTTAAATTTCCCATGCACAACTTCAGGTTAAGTTAAAAATTTGTTTCCAAAATCAGCTACTTTAGAGCACAGGAAGAAATGACAAAATCAGAGTTCTCTGTTCCATTCATGCAAACCCAGCTAAAATACCAAACCCTGTAACAAGTGCAGTGTAAATATCACCAAAATTTACTTCGAGTATTGGCTTCACTCCTGAAGTCCATTTCTCACCATTCCATACATGCCAGACCTTGAGCTCATATGGCCCTCCATATGTCTATAAAGGTGGCTGAGATCCTGTTCTCTAACCTTATGCCATGTAAAACTCAACAGGTTAAGAACAGTCAATGATGTTATCAACCGTGGTGATTTTTCAGAAATAGAAAATGTCTAAATCCCCTTTGCCTGAAGGTCCAGATACTGCTGCAGGATTCCTTTTCTTGTTGGGACGCCATTGGGGACCATAAGGCAGAGAGGAGTCTTTAATTTCTGAAAATCTCTGCTGCTGAGGTGATTTTTTCTGCAAATCAAAGACTCCTCTTTCCCCCCCCCCAGCCCTCAACAGCTCCCCCACCATGAAAAGACGCCAAGGGGAACTTCAGGACCGTGGTGATGGTGGGGAATCATATAATGATTTTTTCTGCAAATCATAGACTCCTCTCCCCCCTCCAGCCCTCAACAGCTCCCCCACCATGGAAAGAAGCCGAGGGGAACTTTAGGACCGTGGTGATGGTGGGGAATCATATATATACTACATATATATAATCATATATATAATCACTACATACACGGTCATACGACTTGATTTGTAAGACAATGCCAACCCGACATCTTCCATGACCAATTCGTCAAGCAGTCTATAACATTCTCTTAACACTGAATAACTGACTGGGTGGGGAGGTAACCACGTCATTTATATATATATAATTTCCAAAGAATCATGACAGCTGATAACCTCAGCCTTGGGCATTGTACGCTACAGAACAGGATTTCAGGCCCAATTATAGAATCCCATTAATTCTGAAGGAGCTAAACTACAAACCTTGGGGCTTTGACAGAGGATGCTTCTTGGCCAGGTGTGATTTGGTTTTAGGCTTTCTTCCAGCCTTAAGGGTACATTTAACGGGATCAGCACGCTGCAGCTCCCCACCTGCTTCCTTGAGTCGACGTGACATTTGATTTCAAAAGGAGGAGGATGGCAATCTGGAATTCAGGAATGGGTTAATATTTTCTTTTTCTTTTTCCTTTTGCTAAGAAGCAAGCCAAAGACCCTTTAGAGGCTTGTGAGCTGATATTAAAGTAACATGTCTACATAAGAGCCATCAGTCTAAATCCATTCATCCTTGCTGCTGTCACTACATACACAGCTTGATTTGTAAGAGAATGCCAACCCGACATCTTCCATGACCAATTCGTCAGGCAGTCTATAACATTCTCTTAACACTGAATGACTGACTGGGTGGGGAGGTAACCACGTCATTTATATATATATAATTTCCAAAGAATCATGACAGCTGATAACCTCAGCCTTGGGCATTGTACGCTACAGAACAGGATTTCAGGCCCAATTATAGAATCCCATTAATTCTGAAGGAGCTAAACTACAAACCTTGGGGCTTTGACAGAGGATGCTTCTTGGCCAGGTGTGATTTGGTTTTAGGCTTTCTTCCAGCCTTAAGGGTACATTTAACGGGATCAGCACGCTGCAGCTCCCCACCTGCTTCTACCACCGTCCTTGAGTCGACGTGACATTTGATTTCAAAAGGAGGAGGATGGCAATCTGGAATTCAGGAATGGGTTAATATTTTCTTTTTCTTTTTCCTTTTGCTAAGAAGCAAGCCAAAGACCCTTTAGAGGCTTGTGAGCTGATATTAAAGTAACATGTCTACATAAGAGCCATCAGTCTAAATCCATTCATCCTTGCTGCTGTCACTACATACACGGTCACAGGGCTTGATTTGTAAGAGAATGCCAACCCAACGTCTTCCATGACCAATTCGTTAAGCAGTCTATAACATTTTCTTAACACTGAATGACTGACTGGGTGGGGAGGTAACCACATCATTTTAAAAAAACATTCATAATACTGTTGAAGGATATAGCATTTGGACAAGGCACTATTTTCCCTCCCTTATACCAACAGTAAAGTAAAAAATACATTTTGTATTTGACAAGGCTGCTTGTAAATCAAACAAATATAGAAAGCAGTGTGTGAACAAGATGTGACAGTATTCCCTTCCACAATCAAAAATATATTGGTTGAAATCTTGCTGCTTTGTGTAGTAAGTTGTGATTTACTTTAGCATTGTCAGCTGCAAACAAAGTAGATCCATTTGAATCTGTGGAACTTACCAAGTTGAATCACCAAATACCAATGATTCAATGAGCCAACTCTAGTACAACTTACTATACTAAGCAACAGGATTTCATTCTCTCTGATGACTAGAGCCACACTATTCCTCATCCTCAGTGTCACATGGTAACCTGCTGAACAGGGATGAATGATGCTTACATGTAGGATCTCTCCTTCAGATAACTGTGTTTAGCATGAGACACAGGGATTACCCTGGCTGCACAATGCCATGGTTGGAATAGCAGAATACCCTTTGCTCCCCGCTTATCCTGTAAAGCCCCTACACATGTGTGATGTATGAAGACCACAACACTGCTTGTTATTCAGAGAGCTACATCCCCTGGTAATGAACATATTCAAAATTCTCAAGGATGATTTTGTGTACACATGGGATTATATCAGAATAAAGTTATTTCTTGTGAAGCATCTGAAATACAGTAACATTTAGAAAGAGACACTAAATACTTCTTTGACTGCTCTGTTGCAATAGCTACCTGATAGAACCAGAAGCTAACACCTAAGCAATGTATTAATGATTACTTAACTTATTTAAGGTGATAAGGAAAGAAGATCAAAGCTATTATAAATACATGTACTGTTAATGGTGGTAAGACTTGAGAATAAACCTGAATGTTCTGAGGTGGTATAAACTTCGTATTTTAAAACAGATCTCATTAATTCACATCAGCTTAAAAAAGTGTCCCAGAATAATGCAAATTACATAGTTCATTGCACTTTTCATCAATTATTAAAAAGTTATTTTCTTTTCTAAAGCCACCATCTATGTCATGTGTTAAAACAAGAAGTAAATCAATCAATACAATCAAGTTCATTCCAATTTATGACAGTTCCTTCCAGGGTTTTTTAGGTATAGACAACTCACTGTTTTAACATTACCTTCTGGGGATACCTTAAGACTATACATCATGCCTAAGGCTTTTTGCCAAGAAACAGAGTGGGGAATTGAACCCCCAACCTCTGACTCTGCAACTAGGTTCCCAATTCACGGAACTATCTAGACAGCAGGAAATATATAACATAACCCAATATCCTGAGATAAATGCAAACTATATAATTTTCTGGGGATACCCTAAGACTATACAGCATGCCTGAGGCTTTTTGCCAAGAAACAGAGTGGGGAATTGAACCCCCAACCTCTGACTCTGCAACTAGGTTCCCAATTCACGGAACTATCTAGACAGCAGGAAATATATAACATAACCCAATATCCTGAGATAAATGCAAACTATATAATAATGAACTTTTGCATCACCTCTCTCTAGACAGCAGGAAATACATAACATTGCCATAACCCAATATCCTGAGATAAATGCAAACTATATAATAATGAACTTTTGCATCACCTCTCTGCTCATATCCACTATTGACATTAAGTTTTGAAAACACTAATACATTTCATGTTGCACATAAAGAAAACAACAAGGCCTTGTCTACAGCTGCACCCTCTGAAACAGAGTACAAAAAGAGAGGGGGGGAAACAATGGGCAAACAATACTGTTGCATAACTTTGCCCTGGCATAACTTAGACTAGGCACTGGAAACATTTAATTTAAACCAATGTAAAGCTTCTTATCCCCTCCATTCTTGTTCTGAGGGTCTCTAGGGCTCCGTTTTTGTCCTGGGGAAGCTTTTGGGAATGTAGGAAGGGAAGCCATTAATGGAAAAATGAATGCCACTGGAGGCATTGGGACCCTCCAAAGATATATCAAGAAGGGTTTTGTCTGTTCATTTTCCAGCTCAATTTCTGAGCTCAGAACAGACCCTTTGATGGCTAGCTTCTTTATGATACCTAATTAAACCCTGAATCAAGGCAAGTAATGCACAGCACAAAAGCAGTTATTAAACTGGTTTACAAAAGCAATTATTAAAGTGGTTTACAAGTTTAAAACTCCAAACTTCAAAACTGCACAATAACAAAAAGGACATTCAAAAACAATTATGGTGATAAACAAAACAGTAATTAAATCATAAAAATTAATAACCCTATAAAATCTATAATTACATGGGGAAAAATTGACAGCTTCCAGGAGATTCAATTATTAAAGGCAGCTTTAAATAATTCTGTTTTTACCAGCTTTCTAAATATAAGGAGGAAAGGAGTCTAGAAGATTGCTGTTGGCATTTTGTTCCTGAGACCAAATTTCTTAGTTTTCTGAGATGAATTTTGTTTCACAGAACAGTCACAAATCTTAACTTGTATAATGTAATGAGCTGGCTACTATGACTAATCTTAGTCAGGATTAGATTAACAGCATGATTTTAACATGGCTACCAAACATTCTAACAGTTCAAGTGCCCAGATATAAAGAAGACTATACCCCTATTCAGACATGATTATCTGGGAGTGTATTAACAACACAAAGAAAAGAACACTTTAGCCCCTCTCCTCTTTTACACATGAAAGGCAATGAGTCTGAATCATAGAATCAAAGAACAATGGAATTGGGCCTATAAAGCCATCAAGTACAACTCCCTGCTCAATACAGGAATACAAATCAAAGCAGATCCGACAGGTGGCTGTCCAATTTTCTCTTAAATGCTTCCAGCATTGGAAAGCTCATCACCTCCCCAGATAACTACGTAGTTAGTTCCATTGTCGTACTGCTCCAGCAGTTCCAGCATTCTTCCTGATATCCGTCCTAAATCTGGCTTCCTGTAGCCTGAGCCCATTAATGTACAACCTGCACTCTGGGATGATCGAGAACATATTCTGTCCCTCCTCTATATGACTCCATCAGCCTTCTTTTCTCAAGGCTAAATATGGCCAGTTCTTTCAATCTTACCTCTTAGAACTTGGTTTCCAGTCCCCCAATCATCCCTTTTGCCCTCCTCTGAACTTGTTCCAGTTTGTCAGCATCCTTCTTAAGGTGCAAGTGTCCAGAACTGGTCAGTACACAGTACTCCAGATGAGGCCTAATCACTGCTGAATAGAGGGGGACTAGTACCTCACAGAATTTGGAGACTATACTGCTGTTATGGTATCCTAAAATTGCATTTGCCTTTTTTGCGGCCACGTTGCACTCTTGGATCATATTCAGCTTGTGATTTACAGGAGTTACAAGATCCTTCCCTCTTATAGTGTTACTGAGCCAAGTATGCCCCATCTTATAACAGTATACTTGGTGTTTTCCCTAGGTTTAAAACTTTTCACTTATCCCTGTGAAATTTCATTCTGTTGTTTTTCAGCCCAGTGCTCAAGCCATTTAATATATTTTTGAATTTTGCTTCTATCTTCCAAGGCATTAGTTATTCCACCCAATTCTGTGTCATCCACAAATCTCATAAGTGTTCTCTACAGTACTTTATCCAATTCATTAATACAAATGTTGAAAAACACCGGACTTAGAACTGAGCCTTGGGGTACCCCACTTGTTGCACCGGACTTAGAACTGAGCCTAGGGGTACCACACTTGTTACCAACTCCCAGTTTGAGAAGGAGCCATTGATGGGCACTCTCTGAATATGATTCTGTAACCAATTACAGTATGTATCCATCTGACATTTGTTCTACCTGCACCTTGTTAGCTTGCTAATCAGAATATCTGAATATGGTTCTGTAACCAAATATGTATCCATCTGACACTTGTTCTACCAGCCTGCACCTTGTTAGCTTGCTAATCAGAATGTAAGAATAAAGATGGAAAGCTCCACTATCTGTGTACACTCTCCACACGTGCATGGAAAAATCAGGGTCCCAATTCATTTGGGAATCCATGGGTAACAGAGCTCTCCTCAGAGCTGTTCAAATTAATCACCCTCTATATAAGGGAAATGGAGGGAAATAAGATGGAAATTGGGGTTAGTGAGCACCCCACCTTAATAGGTGTGCAAACCATGTGTATAAGGGCAGGATTCATGCGTTACTTGGGGTAGCATTGAAGTGGAGAACTGAAGGATTCTGGGAAAGCCTGCAGCTTTGCCTTTAGTGTAAAAAACCAAAAACAATGCCAATGTGTCCTTAAGTTCTTTTAGAGAAATAAAATCCACACCCCACTCTATTCACTTTACCAGTCGTTAAATGACATGTCAGTTCTACTTCTGCTTTCTTATAACTACTATCTTGCAAATAAAAGGAACTGAGTTTTACTTGAAAAACAACATGAAATGTAGTTGTCATAGCAAAGACTGATAAAAATCTACCAGACTTGAAATGCCCAAAGAGCTTTTTTTAAATAAATACACAATCATGTCAAAGTAAACAGAAAGATATGTTATCATAAAAACTAAACTATAATTGAAAATCCACTGGCCAGCAATATTTTCATTAGGAACAAAGTCAACCTGACAGATATGTCTAGGTTTTTGTGTCTTCCAAAACTGTTCATCAAATTAGATAGGAAAGAAATTGGGACAAAGTCAAGATGAAAGAACTCCAACAGCTAGAGACCTGTGTAGTCTGTGATTTA